CCCCTTTAAGTATACTGCTGAGGACTGGACTCAGGCGGACCTCCCATAATAACTTTATCCTGTCACATAGGGGTGTCCAATTAGGTGAACTGCGTACCGCGGCGCGCACTTAAAACAAACCACAAAACAATTTAGTGGACAGACAGGTTTTTGTTCCGCTTGCATTTACTGCTCCTGTGGTTTCATTTATACTTTCTATCACTAAATTCAGTGAAATCAAGCGGTTTTCAGAAATAACAATTGTTTGAGTTTGTGCAGGAAGCTAAAGAATGTCCTAAGGTAAATTTAGCGTGGGTGGGTGGTTTGAATCAACTCAACGAAAACGATATGGCACTCAGTTAAGTTGTCGCAAGTTGGTTGCTGCTGTATTGATAACACAAAAAAAACCCAAATCATAAGTCGGTGATTGGTGGACAGAGCTTTACTATCGGAAAATAGACAGTAAAACGGCTGTGTTATAAGCCAGTTGACAGCTGCTTCTGCACCCCAGGTGTGTCCGCGAGGTTGTGTTGCTTTGCCCGCGCGAGGAGAACTCTTCCGTCTGCAGCCAATCAAATGACGCGGGACTATCGATTGACATTGAGCGTACGCGCGTATGAGGCGGCGAGTGGGCCGTTAACGTGGGAAAGGCCGATAGCGCGCAGAGTAGATGATTACGCATTAGTGCAAGCCCTGGTAGAACGAGATTAGAAGAAGTCAGCGCAGTTGCGCTCGGCGGTAGGCTCCTACAAAGTTACCCAGGGAGGAATAGGTAACCATAAGCCGTATATCTTCGGGCTTTTACGCATCCCACATAGCTTACACTCATAAACTCAAGTGTTGTATTATTGTTCTAACATAGAATACTTTTTGATCAAGTGAGCCGTTACTTCACTTCCGCTTTTAATGTTCTAGGATGCTCCTTGTCGCCCTCTCATGTGATTTCTTTACAAAATGTGCATGTAGCAATCAAGACCACTTCTACATTTGTTGCCGCATAGTCTTTCTTGGTAGGGGATGTGGGAAAAAACTTACCCTCTCGGTCGAAGAAGTCACAATTCTTTCGATTTTCTTGCTTGTAGCTGAACAATGGTTTTCTTTGCCACTTGAGGCTGCTGAGTGATTGGGGCTTTCCCAAATCGGGTAATATTTCAGTTGGTTTGGCTTTAGATCGGTTTCATAATACTCCAGGAGTCCTTGAAAAGCGCTGCTAACTCAATTACTGACCTTCATATTAAATGTCTCAAGGTCCCGTTGTGATTGGCTGATGAGAGCGCACAAATGCCTGCTCGCATGATCTATAGCTTTCCTGCCCACTGACTAATATATAGCATATCCTAGTGCAACATATTACTCTGTTATTGTGCTGCCGTTTTTCAACTTTCAAGGTGCCAATCAGCGGCGGAAGCATGAATCCTTTCAGGAGCCTTGCACCTTCCATTCTAAGCAAAAGCTTTGATAGACAGTGGGTAAGTACTTCCAGTCCAATGAACAAGCCCAATCCTACTACCTGTCTTTCCCTGCAATTTCAAAAATTTTCTCCTTTTAATATGCCAGGTCTGATTTTGAGCTGGCGGTTGATGGGTAAAAAATGTGTCCATTGGTTCTCAATGAGAGGAAATGGTACGCGGAGATGCGAGAACGGGAGGTTAATTGTGGCTATTTCCGTCAACGACTTTTACCCTGGCAGTCCCAGGTGTAAAATGTGATCGAGGTGTGGAAAGGTGGGTATAGGTGATCAAACCGCCATTGGAGGATATTCGGAGGAGTCAGTAACTCCCTTGTAGGGTGGGGCCAGGGAGTGAGTGAGGGATGTGGCGGTATAAGTCAGCACAATGTCTGGCGACTGATCTGTCGTCTGGGATAGCGGTGAGTTTGAAAGGGTCTTCTAACCCTAGGGCCTGCACAAACCTGTCTACTTGCACAGGTGGGGGTTCCTAGCCATATGGTAAGTCTGCTTTTGCTGGCATGTATAGTCACAGGAGGCTAAATTCGTTTGCTCGCAGCCTTTGGACAACTTGGTAGATGGTCTGATGTCTGCTTTGCCATTGGGTGCGCACTAGATGGGCCAAGATATTGCTCGACGTGAACCTGCCGGCAGACTGACGAAGCCAGGCAGGCCAGTGTCCTCGTTAATTTTTGGAAAGATGCCTCGCGATCAATCCTAGTCCATTTGTTTTGCCAAAACAGGTGTGTAAATGGGTGATAGATCTATGTGGGTGAGATGTTGGGAGGCAGTTTTCCCTCGCCTTTCTAATAATAAGCTCGATTAAATGTGAAAACTGCCGCAAGATGCTCAGTTGATACGGCGGACCTCAATCGATGACGCAGTGGTTCGCCATCTCCCATAGCATGGTCAGACTGCCCCTAGTTTCGCCTCCATTTGGCCGTATCGCCCGAAAACCTAACGGAACATTGTCTACCTCCTCATTCTTTCCTTAATAACTGGCTTTTCAAACTTACACTATCACAATAAGCTTTCCATCACCTCGAATAGGAATGTCTGTGTCTGATTAAACTGTTCTTTCTTATAAAATGCTGGATGGTAAAAAAAGCTGGATCGGAGATTTTATTTGAGTCAGAAAAGTCATCAAACGACTGTTCTATTTCACTTTCCCCTTGATAGATGTTTGTTGTCGGACCCCTGACTGGGGCTGTGGCTGCAGTTATCGTTTACGATCTCCTTCTGATGAATGTTCCAGTGGATGACATGATGTAACGGTGAGTCTACTGCTTCAACCCTTCGCTGATTTTCTGTAAATCCTTGCCGGTATACCCTAAGAAATATCCTCAGTTAACTTTTTCAGAATGTATTTACTCTCTCCCTCTAATGTTAATCAATCCTTTGGGCAAACGGGCAGGAAGAAAGAATATCCAGTAGATGTTAACTACTCTGACCTCACCGAGGCATGTTGTCGCATGCAACATAAGCGCCTCACGCGAATGTTTTCAGACTTTGCGACAGCAGGTCATCTCCTGAACTAGATCGAAGATTTCCAAAATGACCATAGTCAAAGAGTTATTATTGTTGTCGGCCAGATTTCACAGTGGACGCCTGTTAAAGATGGAGTTCCACAAGGTTTGGTTCTTAGAACGCTGCTTTTCAATGTGTACGTAACTGAACAAGTATGAGAAGTGAGATCTGACATGGTGTTCTTTTCAGACGTTCTCTAACTGTGGAAGAGGATAAAAGACAAAGAGACAATATATTTTAAGAAATCAACCACTTGAAATCTTGGTTGTACAAAACGATCTTGGCGTATTCTTTAAGCATCACAACGCAGCGCTCCAAAAGAACACTTCGTAACTTCTCGTTCAGCTCTGAATTAGTTGCTCAATCGCACGAAAGCAAATGTAGTACAATTCTATGGCATTTTACCAACAAACGGAGACCACACGCACAAAGCCTTTCTGCGTTTTTGGGCGTCATCAGGTGGTGGTAGGTAGTACAATTCATTCATTAGCCTAGGACGCCCCGAGCGGCCTTGGTTGTGTTTTCCATTTTCTTTTTGATCGAAAATCCTCTGGCTCTGGATTAGTTGATACGTTTTCTAACCTTCCCAATAACCTTTTCATACTCTTATTGATCCCCAACCATTGTATGTTTCAGCGCGTCCTAAAGGGAGCGAGATCACAAGTTGGGCCTTTGTTTCTGCCAACTTCCGGGAAGGCACCCCTAGGGGACTTCGTTGGCCGCTGTTTTCAATGTAACTACTCATTAAACAGACTTATGTAACTGACAGAACAGGGTGTTTGATCGATTAAAAGCATGGACACCATCCTCTTCTTCCTTTTTTTTTCTCACCGAATCTTTCCACGCGTGAGTTGCGTAATTTTGACGCAAAAATGGCCTAACTAGTTTTTTTCCTCGCGCTTTATCGCAGAGGCTTAAGTAAGTTAAACCCTGACGGCTGTGATCATTAGGCCCGGTCCCTTCGGTGAAGAGAAGTCATGGGAAGCCAGAGTAGAAGGAACGGTTTATTCTGTACAGAAGGAATGGAAAGTAGGCAGGAGCAAGTGGACTGTCGGACCACACGTCCGTCCACTAGGGCGGCTTGGTCCGGAGTGCCGGCCTGAGGACAGTCACCGCATTGAGGTCCCCGTGAGTTGGCCTTGAGAGCCAATGAGCTGACAGATTGAGGCCAGGCTACTGTGAGAGTTTTTCGCTTATTCAACAGCCATCCAACAGCTAGTTTGAGGCTTGCCATCATGAGGGTATGCGCGGACTTGGACTACCACAGATTCCATGTGTCGAAGGCCTTCGTCAGGTCAACGAAGTTGTTGAAATGACTGGTCTCAATTTCTGCGCGACTGCCCTGAAATTAGTGGCCTACCAATTCTTGCATTACCCAGACTGTCTGACGAGGTGAAGGTGATCAAGGTCGTCGTTAGTAGCCACGTGTAGAATCCGGTTTTATCG